CGCATTGTACTGCATTTCCAACGTATTGGTATTTTATACGATTTATCTCCAGAGTTTATTATGATCAAAGAAAGGCTAAACCGACAAGGGTCATGCAGCTCTGAGAAGCAGAAAATAGTGCTAGGGTTATAAACACTAGGTGGGGAGGGAGTCAGAAGTGAGGGGAGGAAAGGGCTGTAAGAGACACTAGGGGTTATGTGGCAAAGTTCGTATAGTAAAACAGTTGCTGACAAAAAGTCAAAAAGTGATCGTAAGTCAAAGGCAGCGACGTCTGCAAGAAGAGAAGATATGGTTAAGAGGGGTAGGGCGGCGGCGTCGGTGGAGGTAAATCCTGTGAGCTCGCTAGTAAACCAGACAGTCCACAAAAAAGTGAAGACCTGAAATAGGGACATGACAAACTTCACAGAGAGGAATGGGGTGTCGTTCCATAAGATACCCATGGGTAAGGCGAGTATGGCCGATGCGGAGACGGAAGAGCGCAGTCTCCCGAGTACAACAACGCTGGTAAAAAGATGGCTACAAACCCAAACGCAGTTTAATTGAGTGCAATTTGTTATGGTGCATAGGAAACCGGAAGATCATGTACCGCTGACTGCGCAGTAGCATCCGCCTGTTCATTGCCCTGCACATCAACGTGTACAGGGACTAGCTACTCGGAGCAACCGAAGTTGAATACGACGGACCAATGGATGACGGGAATCAAACTGTTTAATGAAACTGCATTTTACTCAATTGTTAACCTTGAATAGGCACCTTGTGGGTGTTTCTAAGTGTTTTTTTTTTTAAATATAATGAAGGCACACTGTAGCGTGCAACTTTCTCCTGCTTAGCCATTGCCCCAGACACTACAGTTTCACTCCTAAGGTCTCTCATCCATAATCACACTCTCCATAATTACACTTGTTTCCATTCACTACACTTTAACATACTCATGTATGCTGCACGCTCTATCCACTTCCTCTCAAAATCTCCTTCACAGCTTCTATCCAGCCATCTTCAGACTTTACCCCCTTTCCATCATTATCATTTAATCTCTCATTTCCACACTATCTTCTAGCTTCTTCATTCCATATTTTTAGTATAATATTCACCCTAAACACTAATCTCAAGCCTCCTATATTCTACAACAATCCAAGATCAGGGTTCACATCCACACAAAATCTTTGGTACGGCACCGCAAGCTTTGCGCTCAGTCATATATCTTTTCACAGGCTCCTCAGGACCATTCATGCTCTCGTTCTCTTTATATATTGTGTGATTCACATCATCTTTCTTAGATTTCCTGGTACCACATCCACTAATAAATATATGAACACATTCACTTCCTTAAACATCCTTCCTTCCACTCTAACTTCCAGTTTATCTTGCCCTAAACTCCTTAGTCACAACACCTTGCTCTTACCTGTATTCCCTTTCTACGTTATTCTTTTCAGTACCTTCCAGACTCCTCCACCACCTTGTGCAACTCTCAACAGCACTGTGTATCAGCAAAGAACAATTGTGGTAACTCATACTATATATCAAACTCGTTATATTCTAAGACCTCACCTCACTCTTTAAAGAACACTGTTGTTTTGAAACATTATTAATGATGACATAAAACAAGTACGGTAATCTCACATAACTTTGTCTAAGATTCACATTTACAGGAAAAAAATACCATTCACACGAATCATAAAACAATATTGGCGAATCGACACCATGCCCAGCCCTTCTAGGGTACCTGGACACCGGGAGGTTACCTGGAGGTTATTCCGGGGATCAACGCCCCCGCGGCCCGGTCCATGACCAGGCCTCCCGATGGATCAGGGCCTGATCAACTAGGCTGTTACTGCTGGCCGCACGCAGTCCAACGCACGAGCTACAGCCCGGCTGATCCGGCACTGACTTTAGGTATCTGTCCAGCTCTCTCTTGAAGGCAGCCAGGGGTTTATTGGCAATTCCCCTAATGCTTGATGGGAGGCTGTTGAACAGTCTTAGGCCCCGGACACTTATGGTGTTTTCCCTTAGTGTACCAATGGCGCCCCTACTTTTAATTGGGGGCATTTTGCATCGCCTGCCCAGTCTTTTACTTTCGTAGGGAGTGATTTCTGTGTGCAGATTCGGGACCATTCCTTCCAGGATTTTCCAAGTGTAGATTATGATATATCTCTCCCTCCTGCGTTCCAACGAGTACAAGTCAAGTGCTTCCAAGCGTTCCCAGTAGTTAAGGTGCTTGACAGAACTTATACGTGCAGTAAAGGTTCTCTGTACACTCTCTAGATCTGCGATTTCACCTGCTTTGAATGGAGATGTTAATGTACAGCAGTATTCCAGCCTAGGTAGGGTAGGTGCCTGAGCCAGAGCTTGCAGCTCACAAGACTGCCATTCCCATTAGCCCTCTTGGGGCGGGGATAGCAAACCAGAGAGGCCTAGCTTCTCCCTACGAGCCCCGTGAGGGCAGGGAATGTGGCTAGGCCTGGGGACAGTTGGTTCCGAAGATGAGGGGGTACTTGTACCTCCTCCCATGGGAGACTTAGGTCTCAGACACTCCCTCAAGAGGGAGTCATGGCCGGGCCACCACTTGGAAAACGCTCGGGCCGGGAGAATACCGGCGAATCTTTAATAATAAATAATAAATAATAATACCGGCGAATCTTTAATAATAAATAATAATACCGGCGAATCTTTAATAATAAATAATAATACCGGCGAATCTTTAATAATAATAAATAATAACTTTACAGCTTTAAATAATTTGGTTTCTGACCATAACAACAACAATAATAATAATATTATTATTACTATTTTTTTAATAAAATACTTATTGTTTATATTTGGTAAAATTGGATGTAATAAATGATTCTTGGTATTAGAGAAAACTCATCAAGTACAATGTCGAGTCAACACCATGGGAAGAGAGCGGAACTTCACCTCTCAGGCTCGGTGGCCCGGTGGCCTGGTGGTTAAAGCTCCCGCTTCACACACGGAGGGCCGGGGTTCGATTCCCGGCGGGTGGAAACATTTCGACATGTTTCCTTACACCTGTTGTCCTGTTCACCTAGCAGCAAATAGGTACGTGGGTGTTAGTCGACTGGTGTGGGTCGCATCCTGGGGGACAAGATTAAGGACCACAATGGAAATAAGTTAAACAGTCCTCGATGACGCACTGACTTTCTTGGGTTATCCTGGGTGGCTAACCCTCCAGGGTTAAAAATCCGAACGAAATCTTATCTTATCTTATCTGTCAAATTGTAAAGTCACCAGTGTTTTAATAATAAGTAATGAAATCTGGTCATTAACTCTGTTTTAATTATTTTAAATATTTCCGGGGAAATCATAATTTGTTATGGTTATGCGCATTTATTTGTTAACGATTCACTGGCAAAGCTGAGCCTAGGTGATAGTGAAGGGCTCTTGATTCAAGGAATTAGAGGTACTTACTTTTCCTTTGTGTAAGAGCTATAATGTCTCAGTATTCAGGTGTTGTATAGCTACTACGGGTTTGGCAATGTTCCATATCAGTTACCTAAAAAAAAAAAAAAAAAAAAATCGGTGACCGTCACTAGTAAGTCACCACACATAAATTCTCCCAAAGTGGATATGTCACTTAGTTAACCTTTCTTATCTCTCTTCCTGTCTACCCACAGTTTTTATTACTGCTCCATCCTACATCAGCCCTTCCCCGTTCTTGGCCTCAACTTTACTGCTTAATTAATAAAAACAAAAGCAAAATAATATGAGTAATGTTTATATTCTGTATAATAAGACTATCTGGAGAACACACTTCTACTGGAATAAATTTTCACTCAGGGAAGAGTTTTATGGAATAAATTTTCACTCAGGGAAGAGTTTTATGGAATAAATTTTCACTCAGGGAAGAGTTTTATGGAATAAATTTTCACTCAGGGAAGAGTTTTATGGAATAAATTTTCACTCAGGGAAGAGTTTTATTAAGTTTCGATCAAGCTTTACCTTGAGCCAAATATAGTCCCAATAGAAGCATTGCATGTAGACTTGTAATGTTAATATCAGTGTCGCTGTACACTGAACTAGACCAATGTATATAAATAACAAAAAGGCACAATACCGTGACTGGAACGATACACAAATAACCCGCACATAAAAGACAGAAGCTTACGACGACGTTTCGGTCCGACTTGGACCATTGACAAAGTCACAGTGTGACTTTGTCAATGGTCCAAGTCGGACCGAAACGTCGTCGTAAGCTTCTGTCTTTTATGTGCGGGTTATTTGTGTATAGACCAATGTATCTAACATTTAACTCCTGAAGAAATAATAGTTGTGATAAGAAAAAACTATCACTGTGAAGTATGTAGCGAAATAATGAACGTTCTACTCACCACCGAAGGGACTCGGGTTCGACTCTCCGGCTAGGAGTGTCGTAAAGGGCAAGGCATTTATTCCTGATGGCCCGGTTTCCGCTAGCAGTAAATACGTACCGACGTATGAGCCAGCTGTTGTGGGCGGCATCCTTGAGGCTGGTAATATACCTTAAACCTGGTTGTGCTGCGAAATTGGTTGATTCAATGGTATCTGGAGAGAGAGTTTATCTGGAGAGAGTTCCGGGGGTCAACGCCCCCGCGGCCCGGTCTGTGACCAGGCCTCCTTAGGTCAGTGTCCCAGGATGTGACCCACACCAGTCGACTAACACCCAGGTACCCATTTTACTGATGGGGAACATAGACAACAGGTGGAAAGAAACACGTCCAATGTTTCTACTCTGGCTGGGAATCGAACCCAGGCCCTCACCGTGTGAAGCGAGAGCGTTAACCACCAGGCCACCAGAGCCCAATAAAACAACTAATAAAACAACGCATCTTCACGTTCTTACCTGCAAGGTAAACTGTCATTCCTCTCACACTGCAGCAAGAACACCAACAACCACTTGAAACAGTTGTTTTTGTTAAATCCCAACCGAAGACCAGACCAGACCAGATTTTATAATGCTGAGTTTGAGTGAGCGTCACACAGCACACAGAACATAAGATATTACTTACCAGAGCCGTGAATGGCGGAGTGTTGAGAGACGCAGTAATAATGAGAAGTGTATATCACTGGATTACTGGAGACAGCACCTCGCTCCCTCCTGTGTGTATGTGTTGGTGTGACTGTGTGTTCATGCGTGAGCGTTTGTGTCCTGCTGCTGACAGCTGAGAGCAATGGCGCCAGGCGCTGATAACTGAGGTTGGGACCTTTCCGCTCCCTGGTGAGTGAAGCAATATTCTGAGTGTCAGCACTCTTTTACCCTAATTGCCTTATTACTTTCACAATGTTGCACTTTATCACTGTACTATCTTGCACCCTAACCAGGTATTATTTCACCTTCTCTCTTATCCCAACCTGTATTTTCTTATTTTCTTGTATCCTAACACTTAATTACTTTCCTTCGCTCACTGGAATAATTAAACTAAATTATTTAATTCTTTTGTTTCATACCAGTGCATTCTGTCACTCTTGTGTACCACAATACTGCACTCTTTCACTCTTTGTACAATAGCACTGCCTTCTTTCACTCTCCTGTACCATAACACTGCATTCTTCACTCTCCTGTACCATAACACTGCATTCTTTCCCCTCTCCTGTACCATAACACTGCATTGTTTCCCCTCTCCTGTACCATAACACTGCATTGTTTCCCCTCTCCTGTACCATAACACTGCATTCTTTCCCCTCTCCTGTACCATAACACTGCATTGTTTCCCCTCTCCTGTACCATAACACTGCATTCTTTCACTCTCCTGTACCATAACACTGCATTCTTTCACTCTCCTGTACCATAACACTGCATTCTTCACTCTCCTGTACCATTACACTGCATTCTGCACTCTCCTGTACCATAACACTGCATTCTTTCACTCTCCTGTACCATAACACTGCATTCTTCACTCTCCTGTACCATAACACTGCATTCTTTCACTCTCCTGTACCATAACACTGCATTCTTTCACTCTCCCGTACCATAAGACTGCATTCTTTCACTGCCCGTACCATAAGACTGCATTCTTTCACTCTCCTGTACCATAAGACTGCATTCTTTCACTCTCCTGTACCATAAGACTGCATTCTTTCACTGCCCGTACCATAAGACTGCATTCTTTCACTCTCCTGTACCATAAGACTGCATTCTTTCACTCTCCTGTACCATAAGACTGCATTCTTTCACTCTCCCGTACCATAAGACTGCATTCTTTCACTGCCCGTACCATAAGACTGCATTGTTTCACTCTCCTGTACCATAAGACTGCATTCTTTCACTCTCCTGTACCATAACACTGCAGTCTTTCACTCTCCTGTACCATAAGACTGCATTCTTTCACTGTCCGTACCATAAGACTGCATTCTTTCACTCTCCTGTACCATAAGACTGCATTCTTTCACTCTCCTGTACCATAAGACTGCATTCTTTCACTCTCCTGTACCATAGGACTGCATTCTTTCACTCTCCTGTACCATAAGACTGCATTCTTTCACTCTCCCGTACCATAAGACTGCATTCTTTCACTCTCCTGTACCATAACACTGCAGTCTTTCACTCTCCTGTACCATAAGACTGCATTCTTTCACTCTCCTGTACCATAAGACTGCATTCTTTCACTCTCCTGTACCATAAGACTGCATTCTTTCACTCCCCTGTACCATAAGACTGCATTCTTTCACTGCCCGTACCATAAGACTGCATTCTTTCACTCTCCTGTACCATAAGACTGCATTCTTTCACCCCCCTGTACCATACGACTGCATTCTTTTACTCTCCTGTACTCTACCAGTGCATTCCTTTTTGCACCCAAACTCTGTATTTCCTCCATCTCCAGCACCATAACACAGTATCACCACACACTATTGCACCATAACACTATCACCACACACTGTTGCACCATAACACTGTATCATCACACACTGTTGCACCACAACACTATCACCACACACTATTGCACCATAACACTGTATCACCACACACTATTGCACCATAACACTGTATCACCACACACTATTGCACCATAACACTGTTTCACCACACACTACTGGACCGTAACACTGTATCACCACACACTATTGCACCATAACACTGTATCACCACACACTGTTGCACCGTAACACTGTATCACCACACACTGTTGCACCGTAACACTGTATCACCACACACTCTTGCACCATAACCCTCTGCCATCACACACACACTCTTGCACCATTACACTCTGCCATCACACACACTCTTGCACCATAACTCTCTGCCATCACACTTTCTTGCGCCATGATAATGTACCTATTCTCCATTTTAATTTATTATAAACTGTATAAGAAAACATGCTCCATTCTTTCCAGTTATATCCGTAATTACCTTCAATGTAAATCTCTCTCTCTCTCTCTCTCTCTCTCTCTCTCTCTCTCTCTCTCTCTCTCTCTCTCTCTCTCTCTCTCTCTCTCTCTCTCTCTCTCTCTCTCTCTCTCTCTCTCTTTTTACACAGGGTTTGACAAGGTTAAGGATCCCTAGCTTTATTGACAAGCTATTTACAGGTTAAGGATTCCTAACTTTATTGGCAAGCTAAGAGCTGTTACCTACATCAGCTCCTTTGAAATAATTTTTATTGTTATGAGACATACAAGTAGGGAACAGGATGAAGTTGGAGCCATCTGTGTGCCAGCATTTTCATCTGATCAACTGACTTTATCTCATTGACATCATAATGCTGTACGAATGTGTTCCAGACTCGAATCATCCTGGGAATAAATGATCTCAGATAGAGTGATGTTCTGGAGAAGGGTACAGCCAGAGTGAAGTTGCTGCTTTCTGCCCGTCTTGTGGTATAGAAACTTGCTTCACGCTGTCCTCGAAGTGGATCCAAGTGTGGTACTTTGACAATATTGGCCTTGTACATAACAGTAAGGCCACCCACATCACTCCTATGTTGAAGTCTATGCTGAAATGACATATCTATCCAGGATTGGTCCAGGTCAGAGATGAGACGTCTTGCTCTGTTCTCTACTCTGTCAAGCGTCGCAGATGAGAAGGGGGGCAGGCGAACCAAGAAAGTGGAGCATACTCAAGGTGTGAGCATACTTGTGCCTTGTACAAAATCTTGCAACCCCTGCTGTTAAGCAGATGCGAGATACGGCGAAGTGCCTTAAGCTTCCTGGCTGCCGTGTTTGCAAGATTTACAACGTGGTTTTTCATGGTCAGTTTGGAGTCAAATTTCACCCCAAGGATATCAACTTCTTCCCCAGGTGCCAACACCCTCCCATTCATCCTTACCACTGCACCGGCATTACCATCTTGGTGCCTAGAGATCATCATTTGTGTTTTCTCAGGTGCAAACGTTACTTGCCATCTATTTTCCCAAGCAGATATAGCTCTGAGCTGGTGATTGATGTAGCTTAGAGCAGCTGGCATTTCTTCTCTTGGATAAGTGAATGTCAGTGTACAGTCATCTGCATATGCATGGGATTCTGGGATGAGATGAAGAAGGTCATCGAAGTAGACATTCCATACCAAGATGTCTTGCTGATTTTGTTCCATTGAGAACTACCCTCAGAGATCTACCATGAAGGTAATCACTGAGGAGACATAGCGTAGAGCCTGCAATTCCCAGAGCTTGCAGTTTTGCTAAGAGGCCCTGGTGACACACTCGGTCGAAAGCACCAGCAATGTCCAGTGTTACCACACAGCTGACTTTGGATTCATCCAGTGACTGGTGCCACTTAGTAGAGAGGTTTAACAACAGATCAGCAATAGAGTAACCTTTCCTAAAGCCATATTGACGGTCACAAAGTAGTGAGTGGTAATCAAAAAACTTTGTCATATGTCTTGAGATTATTGTCTTAAGGATCTTGCCAGTGATTGACAGGAGTGACACTGGTCTGTAGTTACTGATTTCTGCTCTGCTCTTCTTTTTATGAACAGGGACTACATTTGCCTCTTTCTACAGAGAAGACCATTTACACTGTACTAGGCAGTGCTGAAAGATGCGAGTTAGAGTTGCTGCTAGCTGCTCTGCACATCTTCTCAGCAGTCTTGGGCTGAACTTGTCTGGGCCCACAGCCTTTTCTTGGTCAAGCGATTTAAGAAGGAAATGCACCTCTTCCTGCCTTAATGTCACCACTGACAGTTTTGACACAGTTCTTGCAGCTAGCCAAGGAGGGGGGTCCCTTGTTGGATCAGGAACTTGCATTTTGGTAGCAAAGTGTTCGACAAAGAGGTCCGCTTTCTCTTGACTACTAGTAGAGGTGGTCCCATCCTGTCGATTTAGAGGTGGAATGAGTTCATCAGGCAGATAACCTTGGCTGTCCTTGACCAGGGACCACCAAGTTTTGGAGCCTACCCTACCTGATGCTATTTTTCTTCTTGTGTCCACCTCCCATTTAGCGATGGCCCACTTTTGAACTACACCCATATGCTTACAGGGTTGTCTGTGCAAGTTCCTGTTATAGGTGGTAGGATGTCTCTTATACCTTCGCCATGCTTTGTACTTAGCAGTAGCAGTCTCTCTACAACGAAAGCCAAACCAAGGCTGATCTGTAGGCTTTGTCACATATTGCCGGTGAGGAATGTGTTCTTGTTGTAGATTAAGGATGTGTCCAGTGAAGGCTTTCACTTGGTTGTCAACATCTCCCTCTCTCTCTCTCTCTCTCTCTCTCTCTCTCTCTCTCTCTCTCTCTCTCTCTCTCTCTCTCTCTCTCTCTCTCTCTCTCTCTCTCTCTCTCTCTCTCTCTCACTCTTTCTCTCTCTCTCTCTCTCTCTCTCTCTCTCTCTCACTCTTTCTCTCGCTCTCTTTCTCACACACAATATACACGAGACTGCTCATATTAACTGCACAGCAGTCTGTTTGTGTACTTAGTTATATGTATTCAGCAGTATATATATACGGTTGCAGGGGCCAAGACTCAGCTCCTGGTCCCGCCTCCTTACTGGTCTCTACTGTGTACTCACCTAACTCACCTAATTGTGGTTGCAGGGGTTGAGACTCAGCTCCTGGCTCTGCCTCTTCACTGATCGCTACTAGGTCCTCTCTTTCCCTGCTCCATGAGCTTTATCATACCTCGTCTTAAAGCTATGTATGGTTCCTGCCTCCACTACATCACTTGCTAGACTATTCCACTTCTTGACAACACTATGACTGAAGAAATACTTCCTAACATCCCTTTGACTCATCTGAGTCTTCAACTTCCAACTGTG